CATCCGTGCTGCAAAAGCGGTTGTGACAGGAAGACCGGGCCAAAGAGACAGAAATTTCGGCCACTCTAGCAGGTTCAAAAGTACAAGATATGAGCCATATAGACAGAAGCAACCTCACAATGAATCTAAGGGGAGACGGCCATACAATGAGAGACGGAGTTCTTCGTCAACGTTGCTCCCTCCAAGAGATACATTGCTGCATGTGCTAAGGGTGACACCACCCGCGCCCATAAACCAGGGTGAACAACAAACACCGGAGGCAGCGCAGAGCTATACACATATAAGTATCCATATAGAAAAAAAACATACAAGCACAGTCCATACCATGGTGCTGTGACCACCCCATCTAACATTTTCATAACTACGTTTTTGTTTGGTCACTGTTGCGTGCATCCACCTGACATTGAAGCTTACCTTCTGCCAAGGCTAGAGATGCGGTTTGAAACTTTCGAAGAAACAAAGAACTTCTGCAACGTATATGCAAAGCATGCGGGTTTTGCTGTCAGGGAAGGCCCCAAGTTTAAGACCAGAGCCTACCATTATTGCACGTGCCATGGAGTTTATGAATCAAAGGTGTCTGAAGCAAATAGACAGCATAACAAGACGACAGACAGAACTAACCGCGGGGCTAAAATGAGGCTGAAGAAGGAAAAGGATGGAACATTTGTCGTAAAAGAGATAGTTGGGAACACAACCACAGGCTACAGCTCACCGCAGAAATGCTTGTCTTCTTGCACTCCCACAAAAACTTTGACAAAACAATCTTGGAGTACGTCAAGTACCTGCAGTTCAAAGGCATTGAACACACGCAAATCATGAGCATACTGGACGGTGATGACCCTGGTAGCTACTTCCTCGAAATGAATGCCAAAGTCCTGATTAACCTGTAAGTACAAACTTGTTCTCCTCCCATAACCGCCTCCATCTTTTTTCCTTTGTCAGTACAAACATATTATGCAACACATGACCTGACGCCAGTTCAACATGCATTTTTCAATGAACTTTTAATATACAGGAAAGCAAAGAATTCAAGGATTGATGATGTGGACGATGTCCAAAAGACTGTCAACTTCTTTAGGGAGATGAAAGCTATAAACAGGGAATTCTTCTGTGACATGCAACTCGATGAGTCCGATAGAGTTAAGAACATATTCTGGGCAAACGCAAGCTGCCGAGGGGCGTATCAGGACTTCGGAGACTGCGTAACGTTTGACACAACATATAATACCAACAAGTACCATATGCCACTTGGGGTGTTTGTCGGAACTAACAACCACTTACAGACTACATTCTTTGGTTTCGCCCTGATAAGAGATGAGGATGCAGATTCATTAGAGTGGCTGTTCAAGACACTTTTAAGGTGCATGAGAAGGAAGGCTCCTACATGCATCCTCACAGGTACAACCGCTAAAACCACCCCAACCACCACCCCCATCCAAAAAAGAAAAGGAAAATAACACAGTAAAAATGTTGTGTCAGTTCTATTGGTATATATGCACAACCATCTGCTGACCACTCCGAGTCTATTTTCTCATTACCAGATCAGTGCCCGACAATGGCTTTGGCGACCGCAGATGTTTTCATGAACACAGTACATAAGCTATGCCGCTGGCACATTATGAAGAAGTACAGGGAACACCTCGCATACCTGTATTACCTGCACGTTGACTTTAAGGATGAATTCACATCAATGCTCAACTGGCCCCTCATGCCAACTGAGTTTGAGGATGCCTGGAAAAGACTCATGGATAAGTACAACTTCCACGATGATGCCACAATGATGGGCATGTGGAACGAGCGTGAGAGATGGATATCGGCCTACTTCAAAGAAATTTTTTGCGCCAAAATGACATCCACACAGCGAAGTGAGAGCATGAACTATGTGCTCAAGAAGAACTATGTAAGTGAGAGACATAACCTACACTAGTTTGTCAGCCAGGTAAACTCCTGCGTCAAAACCAGGAGGCAGACAGAGAACCAGGAGACAATGGGTAACCGGGTATAGCTCTATCACTTGTCGTAAGACAAAAAATTACATGCTTACTAAAGTAAAACTTTATTAGAAGTTTTTGCTGTGAGAAAACTAATAATTTGGTCATCATTCTTGCATGTGTAGAAGGAACAAAACACGCCGACCTTCTATGGGTTTGACACCCAGATGGCAAAGATGTACACACGAGTTGTGTACAGTGAGATCAGAAATAGGCTAAAACTAAGCACACTCTTCACAGCGACAGAGATGGAAGAGCCCAAAAAGTACCTCGTGCGCTACAACCACCCGCAAAAACTATCTGTGTGGGCTCAGCATGCGTTCCAGGTGGTTGCAGACCCCGTGGAAGAAACATATGAGTGTGCGTGCAGGCTATGGGACCCCACAGGTGAGGACTACAAAAAAGATGTTACATACTGTACTACTTTTTTGCAAAGTTTTTGTTCGAATGAAATGACAAAAAACATGCACCTCTTCCAAAAACAATACAGGTCTTTTCTGCATGCATGTCGTGTGCATGATGCAGACAATTAAGGCTTCCAGCGTTCCAGAGAAATACATCCTCAGGAGATACACCAAACGCCCGAACATCCAGCCAACATTTGACAGAAATGACTTGAGGACAGTAGCGTCAAACAAGGCATCCCAATACTACATTGAAAGTTCACTGCTGACGCTGAACATGAGGGTGCACAGAAAAAGCTTGAGAAGCCAAGAGCAAATGGTGAGGTTGCGGGTTGTCATGGACAAACTTGAACAAGAACTCGGCGCCATGCATTCTACTGAAAATAGAGGTGTCGCGGACAATGAAGCCATTGAGCAGGATATTGCTACAATGTTATCCGAGATGAACCATATGGGAGCTATTGACCCGTTTGCCAATGAGGAAGAGGAGCAGCAGCAACCAGAGCTTGCCCATGTGCACACTCAAGAGCACCAACAAGCTCACATGCGAGATCATGAGCTTGATGGTGCTGTAGGCGAACGACATGACAATAGCACATCCTACCAGTAGCAGCAGGAAAGGGTGATTAAGCCACCCATATTCTCAAACACAAAGGGGAGGAAGAGCAAGATGAAAGCATCGAAAGCTGCGAAAGTAGCAGCCAAAAAGCCACCACGCCCCATCAAGCGTGTGGAATTTGGCCAGTACGGCAAACCTCTCGGGATAAGGGCATGCGGATTCTACAACTTCGTGAGCAACCATAACTACCGCACATCCCCACTCCGCACAGATGCCACTGTCGACAAGAACAAGCAGATTGGGGCCACCCAGCTTTCTACCAATGGAGACAACACAAGTAACAGCTACACTTGCCGCAAGTGTGGGGGAACTGACGAACATAATGCCCGCACATGCAAAGTGGGCAAGGAGGTCAGTGGAGCTGAACAGAAACATGGCAAGATACAGAGTTCCAAGCAATCAAATGAAGACGATGAAGAAGAAGAGTTTGACGAGAATGACGACCAATAAGACGAAGACAATGAAGATGACAGTGTCGGAGGCAAGGAAACTGAAACTGACGAAGCTGCCAAGGCTCAACCTGGAAAGGGAGCTGGCAAGGCACAACATTCGGGGACAGTTAGGAGAAGCTCAAGACTGAACAATACATAGTGGTTATCCTGCTACGTCAACTAAAAAATAACCTTGTAGTCTCAGTTGCATTGGCACACAATGAGGAAACATTTCAGAAACACTGTCGTTACCAAAACTTATTTAGCTTTATCATCGATTTCTTGATCAGTACTATAGTTAAGATATAATTTCTGATTTGTGCCCGCTGTAGCAGTGACATTATTATGTAAACCATTTGATAATCATTTTTGAATGCAGTCACAAATATGTTTGAAAAAACTTAGCTGGATATATCTAACGCAAAACTCTAATGTCAACCAGTAACTCAGCAAAAAAATATGTCAAGGAAAAATTTAAACTCTTGTAGTACATCAGTACTGATTGCTCTCAATTGTCAGTACAAGGCAGAGTACACATCAGTACTGATATAATTTCTGATTTGTGCCCGCTGGAGCAGTGACATTATTATGTAAACCATTTGATAATCCTTTTGAATGTAGTCACAAATAAATTTGAAAAAACTTATCTCGATATATCTGACGCAAACGCTACTGTCGACCAGTAACTCGGCAAAAATATGTCAAGGAAAAATTTAAACTCATGTAGTACACCAGTACTGATAATTCTCAGTCGTCAGTACAAAGGCATAGTAAAACAAACACACCCGTGAACGCCTCAAAAAAACATCGTTGTGAAAAAACAAAGCTATGTCTGCTTCTCCCAGTCCCAATTCAGAAAGACCATCAGTACATAAAAATAATTACCTCAAGCAAAATGCGAATATAATACATCCTGTACTGATGAAAACCTAATTTATCTGTAAAAAATACTCAGAGATTATCTTGATATAAACAATCCTTTAAAAAATACAAAAAATGTTTTAAAAAAACATTAGCACCACACATAGTCTCACTGGTATTTGGTACGTTCAATTACACTTCAATCACCAGTCCAAGTACCACAGTAGAGGAGTTCAGACCTCCATCAGCACCGAACCTGACACGTGCAAGTGGGATAAGCAGCTGATAAGTACAGCTTGACAATACGAATCGGTGCAACAGCAAAATGCCATCATCACCATCACACAGACGTGCAAGGGGGATTTAGCAGGTCATAAGTACAGCTTGACAAGACTAGTTAGTTCAACAGTAAAAACCATTTGACTTGGACGGTTAGTTCATCCACGCCTCCACCCGCGCCACCCACTAAGCGGTTGCCACAAGGGACTACAAACGGGGACCCCACGCCACTACACCCACTGCACCCACGCCCCCGACGAACCGCCTCCCACAAATCCCCGTCCACGCACTGCAAAAAAACCCATTCTCTTCCATCTCTCCCTCATTCCCACAAACCACCATTGCCGCTTCCATCTCCACTGCACACAAACCAAAAACTTCTCTCTCCCAAGCCCACAGTCGCCGAAAGAAGGCGATGGCGGAGGAACCGTCTGCCAAGCGTCATCATGATGAGACGCCGGACAAGAGCAGCAACCTCGTCGACATTCACGTCCCCGGCGAGAAGCGCGAGTACACAACAACCCTCAAAGGGGTTGAGCTCCACAGCAATGAGACGCTGGAGATCGTCTGCACCAGCGTACCAGAAAAGGCCTACGAGGTGATATCCAGGCTCTGGATGAAGCTTGGCGGCAAGAGTCCGAATCATAGGATCGTCGGTGTTGGTGTGCACTACACCAATGAAGATGAACCTCCCCAGATGGCAGCAGTCCTGCAGTTGTTCGTCGACGACCTCTGCTTGGTGTACCACATCGCAGCGGCCACAAAATGGTGAGCAATCCTACTCATTTGCCTGTATGGTTTATCTGTTTTATTAGTATTGTATCCTGAAAATTTAATCAGACTTGTTTCCCAACTAGATGAACTAGTGTGGTTTGTGAAAAGTGGATGCACTACTGCATTTTCTCAAGTAGATACACTATAAATGTATTTTTGAACCTGATGCACTGGATTACTATTTGGAAAATCTTGCGGAAGATTAAATTCTAAAGTTGATCGACTAGTGTAGTTTCCGAAGTTGATCCAATAGAGTAGTCTATGTACTTGATGTATTAAAAAGATGTTTCGGAACTTGACATAGTGAAGTATTTTATGAATTTGATCTAATGTTATTTTCATAAGAAAATAAACTAAGGACTTGGTGAAGAACTAGTTATGTGTTATCCTATTCAACAAAAGTAGACTAAACTAGTACCAATGCAGAACATACAACATTGACTAAAACTATGTATAATCCAAAAACAAGAATAACATGATGTACTTAATTTAATTTCAGAACTTTCTTTACTAGTTTTTGAAGTACATTCATCCATTGTTTATCCTACATAAACAACTACTTCATGGATTCATCGCTTGTAAAACAAAACAAAAATGAATAATTCAAACATCAAAGTAATGCTAATATTCAAAATGTCTCTCCCCTTGCAGGCCCAAGCGCCTGACCGAGATGCTGCCGCATGAGAAGTTGTTCACATTTGTAACGCCCCGAGACCTACGCTCCACATGCCTTCCTTGTATTCCGAGATTCGTCGTGTGATTTGTTTTGTTTGTTGCATTCATCCTTGCAACATGTGCATTGCATCATGTCATCATGCAACCCCTTTTTAAAACTCACCTAACTAAATTGCATAGATCGTTGATCTATTTAAATCGAGGGATATTCACATGGTGATTTCTCTTTAAAACATATTCAAAGTCTCCTACTATTATTAGGGAGCTATAATAAAATTATTCCATTTATTTGGAATTAACCATAACCCACTTGCAAAATATCCCATGCCGTTGTTATCTCAATTCTTGGTCTCCAACCTTGCCATATATTCTTTCATCATATTCTGGAGCTCCACCAAAAATCCGAACATTTTTGGACCTTCCCAACCCTCACTTCCTATTCAAATCATTTGAATTTAAATCAAATGAGTTTGAATTTAAACTTTCAGTCATGCCCACTTCTATTTTTCCTGGTTCAAGCTCATTTTTATGAGTCCGGGAAAATTGTCCGCATGCGCAAATTCTTTCCCTAACCCTCTCTTCTTTTCTTCTCTCTAATTCTTTTCTGCTAAAGAATATGAGGGAGAGAGATAGCCCAGCCAGGCCTCTTGGGCCTAACCGACCAAACCGACCCATTCCCACAGCCCACTTAAACCCCTCCTAACCCTAGCCGCACCCAACGCTCTCTCCCGATCCTCATCTCTCCCTCTCGTTCCTCCCTGCGCCGCCACATGCACGGGAACAACTCCCGCTTCCCTCCTCATCGCCCTCGCTCTACCCCATGCCCGAGCGCCTCCTCCGCGAGCTCGCCTGCCCGCATGGCCTTGACACCGCCGACCTCCATGGTTTGCCGCGCCCTGCTTCCTCTCCTTGCCGTTTCCCTCCTCCGCCGCCTCGTCTCGCAGGTCTACCGTCGTCGTCTTCGACAGGAGCAGGAGCCCCCATGTCTGCCCCAAGCTCCTCAGGAAGCCGCGCCACTCGCCTCTGACCACGATTCCGGCGAGATCCAGGCATCCCCGCGCCGGAGCCGTTGTTCCCACGCCTCTGCCTCCTCTGTACTTGCTCCACTGCTGTCGTGTTGCTCCTCACCCGCATGCCCCTTGCCGCCTCCTCCGCCGGTGGCGACCACCAGGAGCTCCGCCGCGCCTCGAGCTCAATCCTGCGAGCAGCAGCTCCAGTTGAACCTTGCTCTTGTTGGTCCTGCCTTCCCATGGCCTGAACCCCCCACTGCTACTGAGGGCACCATGTCTGCAAACCCTGCTGCCGGCGCATGCTACCAGTTCGTTCTGTCCTTTTGAACACTGTCATCCGAAGCCTTTTGTGATGTTCTGTCTTGGATCCCGCCAAGACCGCCTCAAGTTCGACTACGGTGTGCTGCCCCAACCAAGACCGCAAGTACCCGACGACCCCCGAAGACCATGGATACGCCAAGTTCCGCTCCGAACGTGTACGACTACACCCGGTGATGTGACAAGTACCCCGACAACGTGTACATCTACACCGCCAAGACCGGACCGACAAGTACCCCGACGTCGTGTGTACCACTACCGTCGACCTCGAAGACCCTGTGGACGTCAAGTTCCTTGACGTGACCCCAAACATCCACGGAGTGTGTACAACTACGAAACGTGTACGACTACTTCCCCTACGGCCCGTGAATGACTACTTCCCTCGACGATTTTGAACCGCCCCGAAATGCATGCTTCGAAGGTATAACCGCCGAGAATGACCACTGTGGACTGAATGTATGTGTTGAATGGATGCACCGTTTGCACCATGTCCGAATTGTCACTCGTTTCCATGCCACTAACCCGTGGGAACCCGGTAGTCGGGAGCACCCCACCATCTCTAGCATGTTGCGCACACCCGTACGCCTCCTTTTGCACCGGTATCTTCATGACCTACCGGAACCGATATGTTGCCGTGGCATCATCTTCAGATTCGTCGCCGTGACACCCTTTCTTTCCGCCACGGTGACAAATGCCTCGTATCTTGCTCATGTCAACATTTTCATAAAATTGCTTAAAACTTGCATATGTCATTCGCATCATGATAACAACATTTAAAATGTTAAAATGTTGTTTGCTTTAATTTGCTAAATGACATATGGGGAATTTCCGGAATTATCGTTTGTTGTTTCTGGCCTCATTTAAACTTGCCTAGATAGTTAGTTTAATTATGCTTCACCTCTTGCCATGTTAACCAACATTTAATCTTGTCTTGTTCATAATGAGAGAGAACTAAATAATTGATGTGGTGTCCCGTCAATATGCAACTCGTTGCATATTGAACTCCACCTAATTTGTAGTATTGTTTGTTGCACTTTGCCATGCCATGCCTCATTAAACCGGACATGCATCATACTTGTTTGTGCATCATGACATGTTTATGCTTGTGTGTTTACCATGTTGTTTGTTTCTTTCCGGTTTGCTTCTCTCGTTAGATTCGGTTTCGTTCCGGAGTTATGAGGATTCGTTCGACTATGTCCGTTTGTCTTCTTCATGGACCCGTTCTTCTTCCTTGCGGGATCTCGGGCAAGATGACCATTACCCTTGTTATCACTTCTATCTTTGCGTGCTAGTTGCTTCTCTCTATCGCTATGCTGCGTTACCTATCACTTGTTTACCATGCCTCCCATATTGTCATGTCAGCCTCTAACCTTTTCACCCTTCCTAGCAAACCGTTGCTTGGCTATGTTACCGCTTTGCTCAGCCCCTCTTATAGCGTTGTTAGTTGCAGGTAAAGTTGAAGATTGCCCCATGATGGACAGGATTATGTTGGGATATCACAATATCTCTTATTTAATTAATGCATCTATATACTTGGTAAGGGTGGAAGGCTCGGCCTTATGTCTGGTGTTTTGTTCCACTCTTGCCGCCCTAGTTTCCATCATACTGGTGTTATGTTCCTTGATTTTGCGTTCCTTATGCGGTTGGGTGATTTATGGGACCCCCTTGACAGTTCGCTTTGAATAAAACTCCTCCAGCAAGGCCCAACCTTGGTTTTAACATTTGCCACCTAAGCCTTTTCCCCTTGGGTTCTGTAGACTCAAGGGTCATCTTTATTTTACCCCCCGGGCCAGTGCTCCTCTGAGTGTTGGTCCAAACTAGAGCACCGTGCGGGACCGTCCCTTGGCAACTTGGGTTATGTTGGTACATGTACGCTTAGCTTATCCGGTGTGCCCTGAGAACGAGATATGTGCAGCTCCTATCGGGATTTGTCGGCACATCGGGCGGCCTTGCTGGTCTTGTTTTACCATTGTCGAAATGTCTTGTAAACCGGGATTCCGAGACTGATCGGGTCTTCCTGGGAGAAGGAATATCCTTCGTTGACCGTGAGAGCTTGTGATGGGCTAAGTTGGGACACCCCTGCAGGGTATAAAATTTCGAGAGCCGTGCCCGCGGTTATGTGGCAGATGGGAATTTGTTAATATCTGGTTGTAGAGAACTTGACACTTGACTTAATTAAAATGCATCAACCGCGTGTGTAGCCGTGATGATCTCTTTTCGGCGGAGTCCGGGAAGTGAACATGATCTTTGTGTTATGATTGTGCGTAAGTAGTTTCAGGATCACTTCTTGATCACTCTAGCTTCACGACCATTCCGTTGCTTCTCTTCTCGCTCTTATTTGCGTATGTTAGCCACCATATTTTCTTAGTGCTTGCTGCAACTCCACCTCATTACCGCATCCTACCCATAAGCTTAAATAGTCTTGATCTCGTGGGTTTGAGATTGCTGAGTCCTCGTGACTCACCAGATACTATCACAACAGTTGCAGGTGGCGATGATACCAATGCAGGTGATGCAACCGAGCTCAGATGGGAGCTCAACGAAGATCTTGGTCGTTTCTATGTTTCGTTTCATGTTGATCAGTAGTGGAGCCCAGTTGGGACGATCGGGGATCTAGCAGTTGGGTTATCTTCTTTTCTTTTGGCTTCATCCGTTGTCGGACTATGTGTGTACCCTGAATGATGTATGATTTATTTAAGTACTTGTGTGAAGTGGCGATTGTAAGCCAACTATTTATCCCATTCTTGTTCATTACATGGGATTGTGTGAAGATGATCCTTCTTGCGACAAAACCACCATGCGGTTATGCCTCTAAGTCGTGCTTCGACACGTGGGAGATATAGCCGCATCGTGGGTGTTACAACATTTGCCGGTTTCAGCATTGAAAGCGACAAAGAGAAGCTGAAGTTGTTCGGTATGGAGATCAACCCCAACAAGTTCATCGACATTCAGCGCAAGTGGAGAGTTCCATACACCGGAAAAGAGTACGACTCCT